GCAAATGGGATCTTCCTGGACCAGGGATTGAACCTATGTCTTCTTCCCTGGCAGGTGGATTCTTTATGTCTGAATCACCAGGGAAGCCTGGGATTTTACTGAACTGTTTCGAATCTAATAGCCAGTTAGGAAAAATTGTCTTCTTTATGATCATCAGCCACAAATATGGCATTGCTTTCTATTTATTTAGATCTTTTTTTCGATCTGTAAACAAACTTTTAGTATTTTCTCTACGGAGATTTTACAATTTATTTATCATTATTGTTTAATAGTTTTACAAATGTTAAAAACTGTATTTTGTATTTTGTTGCTGGTGTTTATAAATGCAGTTGACTGTTATATATTGGTTTTTTAAAAATCCATGCACCTTGCTAAACTCTTAGTTATTCTATTTTGGATTATTGGTGATGTTTGGAGATTGTTTTGGATTTGTCTGTGTTTATAATTAAATCATTTGAAAATGATGGTGTTTTTTCTTCCTTTCTAATCCTGAGTCTTTAATAAAATTTTATAATAAATAGACAGTTATTTTCAATAAATTACTTATATAAGAAATTGTTAAGTTTATATTCCTTAACTGCAATGGCATAAAACTAGAATTAATAATATAAATTTAAGCATACTGGCTGAAAAAATTTTTAATAGCTTCCTTAATTTCTATATTAAAAAAATTTAAGACTGAACTTACAGGTTTAGAAAATAGCAGCTATTTAATATGAAAGTACTGCATCATAAATTAGAAGACTAGAGCTACATTCAAAATAAAAGTCAAGCCTTCAGTATTTTCACTGTGAAATAAAAGAGAGAGAATTGATTGGCTTCCAGTGTTGGACTGCTCCAGGACACAGTCCCCAGAGCTCAATTCTCAGGCTTCTTCTCTGTTTACCCTCTCCTTAGGGATCTCGTTAATTGAGCATTTTTACTATGAGCTATAAACCTTCACAGCTCCCCTGCACTCAAGAGTCATATCTACTCAACATCTGCATTTGGATGTCTCATAAGCATCTTACCTTTAATGTGGCCAAAAGAAAACTTTCTGACTCCCACCGACCCCAACTCCTGAAAAAAAAACAAAACTTCCTCTAGTGGTCTGGCATCCGGTCCCATCACTTCATGGCAAATAGATGTGGAAACAGTGGCTGACTTTATTTTTCTGGGCTCCAAAATCACTGCAGATGGTGATTGCAGCCATGAAATTAAAAGACGCTTACTCCTTGGAAGGAAAGTTATGACCAACCTAGACAGCATATTAAAAAGCAGAGACATTACTTTATCAACAAAGGTCCGTCTAGTCAAGGCTATGGTTTTTCCAGTGATCATATATGGATGTGAGAGTTGGACTACGAAGAAAGCTGAGTGCCCAAGAATTGATGCTTTTGAACTGTGGTGTTGGAGAAGATTCTTGAGAGTCCCTTGGACTGCAAGGAGATCCAACCAGTCCATCCTAAAGGAGATCAGTCCTGGGTGTTCATTGGTAGGACTGATTTTGAAGCTGATACTTTGGCCACCTCATGCAAAGAGCTGACTCATTTGAAAAGACCCTGATGCTGGGAAAGATTGAGGGCAGGAGGAGAAGGGGACAGCAGAAAATGAGGTAGTTGGGTGGCATCACTGACTCAATGGATATGGGTTTGGGTGGACTCCAGGAGTTGGTGATGGACAGGGAGGCCTGGCGTGCTGCGGTTCATGGGGTTATAAAGAGTCAGACACAATTGAGTGACTGAACTGAACTGAACTGAGTGGTCTAGTGTTCTCCATTTCAGTAAATGGTCCCAGTTAATGGTCAAGCTAAATTATCAAAGTCATCTTTGGCTCATTTTTCTTTTAACAAATCCTGGCATTCCTACCTGTCTGCCAACACATCTTCCTATCATTCTGTATTCAGAATATGTCACAAATCCAACCATTCCTCATCAGTTTACTATGCCCAAGCCACCAGCTATCTCTGACCAAGCCTATTGCCTTACCAGGTATTGATAGATATTAAGCTATAGTAACTGAAATTATTTCATACAAAAATTAACAGGTCAGTAGAATCATATGCATTAACCAGTAATAGGCTCCAGAATATAGAAGAACTTAACATATGATAAAAGTATCAAAAAACAGTGTGCAGTGACATACTTTTATACATGGTATTCTGAAATGGGCCATTTAGGAAAAAAATACATTTTATACTGTATTACCTCATAAATTCTAGAAATGATAAAATTTATTGAGCATTTACTATTTGCTAGGCAATGTGGTAAGTACATCCTTCACATGTACTGCAGTGGGAAAAGAAGCACAGATTAGAAGAGATACATGGTCATCTGCTCTCTAGGTCTCTAGGGAGGGAAGGCTTGGATTACTAATCATAAAAAATTACTAAAAAAATTACTAAAGGAATATGTTGATAAATTAAGTAATAGAAGTATTATTTAAATACTTTTCAGTTTCCAAGACTTGGGGGCACAGTTGGGGAAGGAGAAGGTGTATTGAATTGAATAGCATTGAAAAATATACTCTACTGTATGTAAAACAGACAGCCAGTGGGCATTTGCTGTGTGACACAGGGGACTCAAACCTGATGCTCTGTGACAACCTAGAGGGGTGGGATGAGGTGGGAGGCGGGAGGAAGGCTTAAGAGTGAGGGGACATGTGTATACCTGTGGCTGTTTCCTGTTGATGTATGGCAGAAACCAGCACAATATTGTAAGGCAATTATCCTCCAATTAAAAATGAATAAAATAAGAAAACTTACTTTTCTGTTTTCAGAAATAAAATTAAAAGGCAAACAGATTTAAAAGAAGGTAACAGCAGAAGCAGCATTGTTTTTTAATCTCCCTGAATCCCTAGTAAAACACACATACCACCTCTAGAGCAAAATTAAACACCTTGGACATCATTTACTACAGAATTAGCTTATAAAATGTCCCTGTAAACCCCAAAAGATAGCAGGACAAATGACCAGAATCGGAAGATGTAAGCGTGATGTAAACAGAAGGAATCATCAGGGCCATTTGACGGACTCAAGACCAAGAGAGCTTCCGAATAAGCAGCAGGTATTCATTGGATAAGGGCTTTCCTGGTGACTGAGATGGTAAAGAATCTGTCTTCAATGTGGGAGACAGGGGTTTGATCCCATGGTGGGGAAGATCCCCTGAAGAAGGGAATGGCTATTCATTGGAAAGCTCAGGAGGCCAATTAGAGAACAGAAACTGAAATTGGGAGGGGTTTTGCCAAGAGCAGGTGCATGCAGGTGGCCCATGTGAGGCCTGAAGGGAGCAGATAACCCCTGTAAATTCTCCCAACTAGTACTTCCTTCCAGGCTGGAGGTGGGTGTGGAGGACATCCTGAGATTAGAATCAAATTTGAGCAGCTCTGGGACAATAGCGATTGAGGACAGAGAGAGAAAACTGGAATAAAAGTGGAACAGGGAAACAGGGCCTAGAATCCCAGAAAGCAAACTACTATATATTTGAGTTCTACATAAAAACAAAAAAAAGGAGAGCTACACCTCCTAAAAATTTGGGGAAAATAATTTCAAATCAAATTGGCTACAAAATTCTATAATTTTAATTAAAAAATTTTATTGTAATAAAAAAGCAGAATAACAGCCACTTGAACAATGAGAGCACATCCGAAACACATGCCCACAAAAAAAGATAAAATTCTATTTCAAAATGAGCTAAAACTCATTAAGAAAATGATATGACACCTGAAAGAATGCCATAAGTTAGAATTTCAAAAAATGAAAACTGAAGTGACAATAAAGGAAATAATTAGAATTTAATTTTAGAAATAAACTGGAAGGAACATAAAAGCAAACAAGTGTAAAAGCACCTTATGAGACCTAAAAAATGAGAAAATATTTGACATTTAAAAAAGAAATGAGGAAAGAGTTATAAAGAAATTGAGAGAAATTAACATTGGAATAGACAGTGCAGGGAGGGGCTGGTAGCACTCTATTTCTTGACTGGTTAGTGTTTCACATGTGTTTGCCTTGCAGTAATTCTTTAAGCCATACATTTGTTTTATGAGATATCTCGGTACTTGTTTTATTTTGCCATTATAAGATTATGAAATGCAGCAAAAAGGCCAGTCAGTGAACCAGTGGATATTTGGGGGAAAAGAAAAATACATAAACTGTTCATGCAAATTGATAACAAAGTGGTAAAACTCCAACAGAGCATTGCAGAGGATATAAACAAGTGATCTGCATACACAGTTGACCCTTGAACAGCATGGCTTTGAACCGTGTGGGTCCACTTACAGGCTGATTTTTTCTTCAATAAATTTCAGTATAGAAGTACTGTACTACTACAGAATCTGTGTGTGGTTGAGTCTGCAGATGCTGAACCGAGGGTGCAGAAGGCCAACTGTAAAGTTATGTGAGGGATTGGTGCCCAAGTTCTGCACCATTCAAGGAGCAACTATATTCAGAAAGCTAATAATCACTAAAAACATCTAATCTCACTGAAATGATCTCTAAAAGACATAATTTATAGGAAAGGAGGCATCAAAAGAAAAATTCTGTATTGTATCTGTTTTTGTTGTTGTTCAGTCCCTAAGTTGTATCTGACTCTTTGTGACCCCATGGACTGTAGCCCACCAGGCTCCTCTGTCCATGGGATTTTCCAGGAAAGAATGCTGGAGTGGGTTGTCATTTCCTTCTCCAAAGGATCTTCCCAGCCCTCTGGAGGTGCAGGGACTGAACCTGCATCTCCTGCTTAGCAGGCAGATTCTTTACCACTGAGCCACCTGGGAAGCCCCATATTATATCTGTAAATAATTTTTAATGTCATATAATTTTTCTATTGTGGGTGAAATTGGGTAGGGTGACAACAGACTCTCCCAACAAGTGCCCTTCAGTGTGGTAGGTTTTTCTATTATATGATCCCAAAGTGAATGCAATACAAAATAACCTATTCGTTTTCTGTTCATGTTGACTTAGCATGGCATTTTTATAATTTGGAAAAGTTTATGATTAATTACATTGAATACTTTATCCTTCACAGTGAGAGACCTACCACCAATTTCCCTTGATGTTAGACAAAAACAGCGCATCTCCACAGATCCATTATCATCTGAAATGAAAGCCCCAGTTCTTCCAGAACCCATCCATCCAGTTCAGCCCAAAACTATGAAAGACTTTCTGTAAGTTTTGGCTCATTGTTACATGTAGACATATAGTCAACTGCATGTCGGCACTTCACATAATTTAATATTTTTGTGTGGGAAATTTATTGAACTTGTGGCTCATGTGGTATTATAAGATGAAGTCACCAAAGACTAGATGTCTCAAGTTGAAGGTGAGAACAAATATATAATTAACAGCTAAGGGATAGATAATGTTGCAACAAAAGAAACACTAAATAAGAGAAAATGAGTCAAAATAAGCAAGCAGAGATGAAGGAATGTGTCCTTTTTAAAAAATAAGATTTCATTTACTAAGTGACACACAGACCATAAAAGCTACCTTGCTGCTATTAAGTTGGTACAAAAGTAATGTTGGTTCCGGCCATGAATTTTAAGTCATTATAACTAGGCTCAAACATATTTTTATTAATCAAAATGGGAACTATTACAGTTGACACATTTTTGCCAACAGAAGTAAGCTCATTCATTCCTGTAGCATAAAAGTCCATGCTTCAGAATTCAACGAACTCTTGGAAAGCATTTTCTCCCTCCTGCTGGTTGTGGAGTGTTTTCCCTGCAAAAAGTTGTCAAGATGCTTGAAGAAGTGGTAGTCAGTTGGCAAGAGGTCAGGTGAATATGGCAGATGAGGCAAAACTTCATGACCTAATTCGTTCATCTTTTGAAACATTTGTTGTGTGATGTGTGGTCAGGTGTTGTCATGGAGAAGTGGATCCCTTCTGCTGACCAGTACCAGCTGCAGGCGTTGCAGTTTCCAGTGCATATCATCGATTTGCTGAGCATACTTCTCAGATGTAATGGTTTCGCTGGAATTCCAAAAGCTGTAGTGGTTCAGACAGGCAGCAGACCACCAAACAGTGACTGTGATCTTTTTCTGGTGCAGGTTTGGCTTTGGGAAGTGCTTTGGAGCTGCTTCTCTGTCCAGCCATTGAGCTGGTCATTGCCAGTTGTCATATAATGTCCACTTTTCGTCACAGGTCACAATCCAGTTAAGAAATGGTTGGTTGCGTAGAATAAGAGAAGATGACACTTCAAAACGTTGGTTTTTCTGATTTGCAGTCAGCTCATGAGGCATCCACTTATTGAGCTTTTTCACCTTTCCAGTTTGCTTCAAATGCTGAATGACCTTAGAATGGTCAACATTGAGTTTTTCGGCAACTTCTCATGTTCCTCATATAAGAGGAACAGCTTCAATAATGGCTCTCAGTGGTCATTGTTAACTTCCAATCGCCAGCCACTATGCTCCTCCTCTTCAAGGCTCTCATTTCCTTTGCAAAACTTCTTGAACCACTGCACTGTACATTTGTTAGCAGTGCCTGGGCCAAATGTGTTGTTGATGTTGTGAGTTGTTGGCACTGCTTTATGACCCATTTTAAACTAGAATACAAAAATTGCTCAAATTAGCTTTTTGTCTAACATCGTTTCTGTAGTCTAAAATATAAAATAAACAGCTAGTAATAAGTCATTAGCAAAAAAAACATAAAGAAAGAAATGTGCATTAAAATGATGTATAGTAACATAACCACATTTATTTAAGAGTGTATTCCAATATCAAAGGGCAAAGTTCAACAATTCAAAACCACATTTACTTTTTGCACCAAGCCTGGAGAATCTCAGGAACGGCAGAGCCTGGTGGGCTGCCATCTATGGGGTCGCACAGAGTTGGACACGACTGAAGCGACTTGGCAGCAGCAGCAGCAATAATAAAAACCAAATGGATACTCGAAGGACTAAATGAGAAAGAGAAAGTAGGGACAGAATGTAAACAAAACCTGTCAAGAAATTTGACTGTAAAGGAAAGAAAGAGATAATTATAAGGAGCATGTCAAATGAACTTTTAAAAAATATTTATGTATGTATTTTGCCTATGCTGGGTCTTTGTTGTTGCGCATGGACTTTCTCTCGTTCCAGCAAGTGGGGGCCGCTCTCTAGTTGTGGTGCATGGGCTTCTTACTGCAGGGTCTTCCCTTGTCGCTGAGCACGGGCTCTAGGCACACGGGCTCAGTCGTTGTGGTGCTTGGGCTTGGTTGTTCCGTGGCATGTGGGATCCTCCCAGACCAGGAATCTAACTGGCGTCCCCAGCATTGCAAGGTGGATCTGCAACCATTGGACCACCAGGGAAGCCCAAAAATGAACTTTTAAAAAAGCAAATAAATGGGAAAGTTGAAGCTGGATTAATATCTTAATCCAGTTAAGACTTATGAATTCAGAAACTACATATTTACATTAACTGGAACACATCCTGTATTCAGCTTCATTATTTCAAGTTGCATGTTGGGTAACATTTATCTGTAAAGAATCAGTGCTGTATTATCTGCATAATGTTTTTATCTGTTGTGGCTAATGAATGCTTTTATTTTAGGGAAGATGTAGAAAAAGCTAAGTCATCAGGAGATTGGAAAACAGTATATGATTTTTATCTTACAACATTTGATTCTTTTCCAGAACTAAGTGCTGCATTTAAGGTAATAACACGTAAAGCACATTTTTCACTTTTTAAATTTTCTCCCAAAAAAGACACTGAATTTATCTCTTTTTCTAGCCAATATTGGCTTAAGCAGCTGCTTAAGCAAATATAAATATGTATTAATTCTGAAATTACAGATATCACAATAATTACTTAAGTGATATCTTAAAAATTGTTTTTATTTGTACTAATGTAATACTTGAGATGGTTAGATAACCTCATTGACTCTATGGACATGAATTTGAGCAAACTCCAGGAGATAGCAGAGAATAGGGAAACCTGGCATGCTACAGTCCATGGGATCACAAAGAGTCAAACATGACTTAGCGAATAACAATGTTTGACTCCATTCTTTCAGTTTTTAAAAAAGAAATTATTAAAATAATCCTTATGTATTTATTTTCCTTTTTAGCAGTTTAGCTGTAACAGTTCTTTTATATCATCATACTAAGACTGTTATAAATTATGAAGGCATAGTTATGATTCAGATATTACTTAGAACAGTTCTTAAAATGTTATATACATTTAGTTCTTTAATTGAATTTTCAGAAAGATGCCTCTGCCTCGTTTAATACTATTGAAGACTCTGGGATTAATGCTAAATTTGTGAATGCTGTATATGATGCCTTACTTAATACTGTAAGTATCATTTATGAACACATGCAAATCATACAGTTATTTGAGTCTAATACTATACTTTGAAATCCGTCACACAAATGTTGTAAAACTCACCTTGTAACATAATTACATAAGAAACTTTTTTGGTAAATTTAGTTGAAATTCTCAGAAAGTTAGATTATTTTTTAATTCTTATATTTTTCTAATTAATTCTTATATTTTTCTAGTTAAAAGGTTTTTCAAATTCTGTAAGAAAAATTTTTTATCTTGTTTTTTTAACATAATTTGGCTGTACTTTATAATGAACTATGGACTTAACTGCTAATTATAACATATAAATATGTACAAAATGTATGCTATCATTTTATATTGTTAAACATGCTATTCTTCAGTTTGTATTCATGATTTAACCCTGTCAATCCAGAGACAGTGAAATTATTTTCCTTTTTCTGTTTTACACTGTCACATAAAACTGACGGTAATCATCAAACAGCCACCTCGTGTGTTTGTGCAGGTTGTACAGTGCACACCCCAGGGAGCATTTTCACTGTAATCTTTCAGAAGTGAAATTGAGACCACCATAAGTGGCAGTAATCAGTCATCAAGTCTAGTTTTAACCACTGAAACAGATCTGCAAATATAAGTAACATATAAAAGTCACCTAAATATCTAATCCTAAGTATTTCATGATTTTCTTTTGCCTACAGCCTCAAGACATTCAGAAGACAGTATTAAAGGGAATCATTAACAGCCTGTTACAAGACTGGAAAGGGTAATTGTGACCAGTATTGTAGTTGTGGCTCCTCAGTATAGATGGTTAATCTGTGCACCTCATCCAACTTTAATGTATCTGTGTGTGTTTTACTCAGAAAAGATTTTAGTTGGTACAGTAAAAACATAAAATGAAACTGTAAACCATTTATAACAAAGCTTTTTAACTCGAGACTTATGACTTGTTAGGAGGATCCACATGTGAGCCTCAGAGGATCTGTGAATTGTTTAAAACTGTATATAATATTTGTTGTGTAGATGGGTGGTTAAATCAGTAACCTAGAAGGAAATAATATGAGCATTAAATTTATCCTTGGGCTTCCGGGTAGCAGAGTAGACATCTCCTTATTTCTAATATAAGGAAACATAAATTTAGCCACTAACATATTTTTTTTCTGGAACTAAATATTGAATTGTTATATAAAGAATGAAGAACAATGTAATTGATAGTGTTTGGAATATGCAGAACACAAAAATACAGTTTTAAAAGTACATATTTAAATTGATATTACTTAAATAACATAGTAAATAATAGCTGCTCTTAAAGCCAAGCAATGCCATTAAATTATAATTTAAATGTTTATATTAAGCCCAGTTTGAAAATACCAAACCACAGTTCTTAAATATGTTAAATATACCCTATATATTTTAACAACATTGTTCCAATTTTCAAAGAAATTTGTGGTTTTATTATTTATTACTAAAGTAATAAAGTAATATTACTTTATTAAAAAAGTAAAAATGTAACTGTGCAGTTTTTTTCTAGTTGTCTTTTTAAAACAATTGAAATCATATTATATTTTGCATGTGATTTTCATCTTAATATTTTCCTAGTTTATCGTTCTAGTGATACTTTTGCATTTTCTCTGGTTGAATATATAATGCCTCATTGGAGATAAAGAGGAAAAATTAGAATGTTAAAAGAATGCTTAGGAGAGTGAGGAAGTCCAGTGGTCTGAAACTGCAGGACCTTAGTCCCCTCTGAGCACGCTCCCACAGCTTTCTAACCCCTGCTCCTCAAATGTGTACCTGAGACAGATTAAAATAATTTGATGCAACTTACTTATTAAAGGATCATGTGGTCTCTACCCCCAAAATTTTGTTTTATTTTGGACTTAAAGTAACAAGATTTATAGATTATTGACTGTTTACTATGAGCTAATCACCTTTCAAATGATTTTGCACGTATTTCTCATATTGAATCTTCACTGCAATCCTGTGAAATAGCTAATAGGATTATTTTCACTTCACACTTGAGGAAATTAACTTACAGAGAAGTAAATTGCCTAGGTTAACACAGTAAGTGCCTTAGTCATAATTAGAACCCAGGCTGTCTGGCAAAAGAGCCTATGATCTTAACCACCATTTCTGTACCCAAAGCTGTACACTGTACTAAAATACTAGTGCATAGGACAGGAAGATGGAAATTTTAATGGTACAGCTATAAAATGGGAAAAAAAAGAGGACTTTCTTATCACCAGGAATTTTAATATTTATGAATTGCTTTTATCTTATTAAAATATTTTCAAATATAATTTCTAAAATAAAATAGCAGTCCCATTGAAAAAATAATCTGAAAGTTATGTAGACTACTATAGAAAGAAATAGTTTAGATTTTATTTAAACCCAAATAATTTAAATCATTATTCAGTCAGATAATTCTTCCATAGAGGAATAGTATTACTAATTTTAAAATTATATATGTAATATAAATACATACATATGAATTTCAAAATTTAATACACATGTTATTTATATTTCAGATGATTTGGCTTTACATTTATGAAAGGCATCTAGTACACTTTGGGCAATGATTTATGTTTATGTTTTCAGATTTAAGTCTAGGTTTATGTTTTCAGAATTCAGTCTAGCATTTATCAAGGCAATTCTCACAGAAACATTGATAATTTTTATTAGATGGTATAAGATTAAGCATCTCTCATCAGTTACACTTCTTTCTTTTTCAGTCCACGAACAAAAGATGATCTTAGAGCATATTTTATACTTTTACAGGTAAGAAAGCAAGAACTTAGTTGAAATTGTATAATTCATATTTCAATCTGTACATTTGTAAGTAAAATAATACCAAGTACTAAGTATTATTTTGAGCAGCATTTTTGATACTTTTTAGATTATAATTACTTTTAATCAGAGAATTAAAGCTTTAACAAACAGTGGGAAGCTAAATTATATCCAGATTTAATATTTTAGTTTAGTTCTTACCTTCCTGCTGTTGAATTCTGGAACAAACAGAATAGAAGCACTTCTTCCTCCTCCAGTCAACTTCCTGTCTTGTAACTAGTTTTTTAAGGGGGCTTCAAAACACTTTTTTGTTTCCCAGTTAGTAGGTTTCTAACTTTTCAAAAAATATTTAAGCTAGAATTCTAATGGAAAAGTCAAAGTGGTTGTTTATGTTTGCTGAAGCAAAGATGATGAACTTTTTCCTCTCAAGAGATACAGATTCATTGATATAAATAAATAAATAAGGTCCAAACAAATGAAAAGTAATTTTAACTTTTGTAATTTTTTGAGAAGTATGTTATTCCATAGCTAGCATACTATATTTGTATTATTCTTTACAGTTTACCAAAGGTAGTTGTATAGATTATTATCTCATTTAAAGATAAAAAAATTATGTTAAATAAGGTGTAATGTTTAACTTAATATTATGTCCAATAAAAAAATATGGAACATATGCGTAGAAGGAGGAGGAGAGAGGAAAAAAGAAAAAGTGGGGGGAAATAAGGGGAAATAGATAAAAGGCAGTTGAGAGATGTAAAGCGAGGAAGGGGAGGTAAAAAGGTAAGAAGAGAAAGACAAAACTAGGGGGGAGAAAAGGAAATATATGTGAAGATAGTAAAAGCTAGAAAGTGACAGCATGGAGCTCACATTTTTAGGAGAGTGTATTTGGTCCTCAGTAAGTTCTGCTCTTAAGAGCTATCACTTGGTGAGGTTATCTGCTGGGGTCACTCCCTCATTTTGAACCATCCTGACCATAAGTCAGTTTTGAAAAACATATGGTGCTCTTTTCTTTTTTACAATTTCAGTTTATTGTTCAGTAACACTTATTTTTACCATCACGTTAGTACATTGTGAGTTTTAGATTTTGGAAATGTAACTAGAGTTTGTGCTTGGTTTACAAGCTCTCCTTTAACATTTAAAAGTTCTCAGGAGCTGTTAGGTGGTTCTCCCCTGTTCTTTGTGAAATGTGTGAATAACTCTTTTCACATTGCAAAAGTTTCATTACCAGCTTTTATTTTTCTAGCATTCTCTGTCCCCCCCCCCTTTTTTTTAAATCAAGAAAGAACCAGGTTTTTGCTTAATTGGAAAGGAGTGATTTCCCTCCGTTTATACTAGGCAGTGACCTAGGTGCTTTATGTTATCTTTTTGTTTTTTTTTTAGTACTCAAAACAACCTCCAAGATAGATATTATCATTCCCATTTTCTAGATGAAGAAGTTGAGCATCAAAGTTTAAGGAACATTCTTAAGGGTGTGTAGTAGTGGTAGAATTAGCCCTCAGACCTAAATCTTTCTTAATTCAAAGCCATTGGACCATTGTGGAAGTTGAAGTCTCTGTTAATTAAATAATGAAACAAATAGATTCTTATTTTAAAGGATTTCATCTAGTATTTCATAATCTCAAATTTAGTTTTCTGAATTTGCCACTTAGCTCATTAAGCTTAGTGTCTTTCCTTTTACATGTTAACACAATTTTAACACAATTATCTTTAATATCTTTTGCAGAATCCTCAATTTAATAACACATCTACATATGTCATCTATGCCCACTTGCTACGACAGACAGCCAGCTTAGTGGAAGCTGACCATCATTTCCTAGCTCACTGGTTTAAAAAGTAAATTATGATATTAAGAACTTTTAATTTTATAATAACCTTAAATGTTTTCAGGTCTTTAGAAATGATACTTATAATTTACAGTGCTTCAGAAGCCAATTACAAGTGTATTATTTAGTACTATGTAGAGAATACATTAAAGATCTGTTTTGTGTGTAAGTAACCATTTTGCTTGTATCAGCTGTTGTTGAGATTTCTATCCACTGCTTTTGCATTTTATACAGCACATTCCTATCGTTGAACATATTAGGCATCAATATCAATTTATAAAAGTACAGTATTTTTTTCACAGTACTGTACTTATATAAACAATTACTTTTCCCCATGACTAATACAAGCTAAAGAAGCTAAATCATCCCAAAATTAATTTTAAATACAGTCAGTTCTCATTATTAGCAATAGTTAACATTCTATAAAGCTACTGTGAGTACTGAATTGGTGAATAGTAAACCATTATTCCCACTCAAGAGGGTTAGATTCCTACAAGCCTTTGCTCACACCATTTCCATCAGCATATCAGTACATAGCCTTACTTTATCTGTGTTTCATTTTAAAGCCACCTTATTTGATAAAATCATTATTTTATTAACATTCAGCTCACCGCCAACAGAAGGTAAAGAATCTGCCTGCAACGCAGGAAACCCAGATTCGATCCCTGGGTCAGGAAGATCCGCTGGAGAAGGGAATGGCAACCCACTCCAGTATTCTTGCCTGGAAAATTCCATGGACCGAGGAGCCTGGCAGGCTACAGTCCATGGGGTCACAAAGAGTCAGACAGGACTGAGCAGCTAACACACCGCCAACAGCATCATAACTCATGTCTGAGCAAAGTTTATTGGACACAAGTACCTTCTCCATAAGGCACATCACATCCTTCTTAGGAACACTAGTCAGAACTTTAGAACTTTAGCACTAGAGTTAGGGGCAAAGTCACAAATGAAAAGCATAAGAATTTGAAAAACATGACCCAAGTAGATTGCATAAAGAATACTTATTTGCAGTATGAGAGCTAAAACAAGGAGGCAGAGCATCACCTTATTCAGCCTCAGCATAACAACTCCTGTTTTTTGCCACTCTTTGCACTGCCATGAAATGACCACAAAAGTGCCACAATTATTTATTTGGGGTTTAGAATTAAATAGTAGGAAATGGGTGAATTTGCAAATACAGAGTCTATGAATGAGGAGTGACTGAGTACTAAAAGCCTTAAAAGTGAAATGTTTAATGCTAACTTTTAGTAATTTTGGTGTTTATTTCTCATTTAATTAAGAAATGATATTTGAGGTAAGATTTTGCATCTTTTCAAATTTGGGGCAATTAAAGAAATAGAATTTGGGGGAATAGCCTAAAATTTTGTGCATAAAGGATGAACTTTGATCTCTAACAAACATATTGCCAAAATAGAAAATGTGAATTTTGATTGGAATTATTTCAAAATCTTTACCAGATTATCCCAGAAGAGGTTCAAACCATTGGTAGAGAGATTGCTGCAGTTTATTTCTTTACGCCTGTTTCCTGCAAAACCTGAAGAATTTCCACCTATATCAAAGTGTTCGTGGTGGATCCCATCAGCATCTAAAGTATTGGCTTTACTTAGTAGGTTTTATTGTTCAATCATCTTTACTTTTCTTTTATTAAATATAAGGATATTTCCATAAGGACCTCAAAATACTATAGAGGCATTACGTACATCCTAAATCATTCCTTTGAGGAGGAGAGTTGTAGTAATGTATTTTCTATTTTGCTAATAGATTTCACAATTAATGTATAAGCATGAAAAAGCTTTATGCATTTTATTGAGCAAAATTCTGTTTTATGGCTGTCAACTGCGTATGACCTCCTAAGTAGTGGTTCCTAAGAATACACGAACTTATATTCATTCCTGAGTATGCCACTTGCTTACTTCCTTTACTATACTATTATAATCCTCACCATTCAAGTTTTCTCTTAAAGCAAGTAATTATTGGCTTCATTTTGACCTTAATTTTAAAACTACCTTCCTCATTCAGCACCTCAATTGCTTAAAAGAGGAATTTCTAGATAAAGGCTTTCTGGTGGGCATTAAAATATTCTTCCTACTAGAATGAATCATGTACATATTGGGAAAGATCATTATGTTAGAATTATCTTTACAGATACTGCGAACAATTTGGTTCACCCTCCCCTTATTCCTTATACTGATTTCTATAATTCTACATTGGATCACATTGACCTCATGGAAGAATACCACACCTGGCAGAGCTTTGGAAACTCTCACAGGTATGATCAAAAGTTCATTTGGTTGTTCACCTGAATAAAATACTATACAAAATAATGACTGGCTTTTAAGTTTGTGTAAGTAAATTTACATATACACATACCTTAACATATAAACTTTTAAGTATATTTTAGATACCCAGCCTTGAAATCATTATATCATTATATTTCCTAAAGCATCTTCTTTTTCTATTTCATCTGAATTTATGTTTATGTTAATATGATTTTTGTTTGGTTAGTAACATCTTTTTAAGAAGGGAAAAGTTCTTAGTATGCAGTTTGTTATAAATTTTCTTATTCTGTGTGTCATCACCCAGCACGGAGGTCAACAAACTTTTTCTGGAAAGTACAGGATTATAAATGTGTCTGGCTCTTTGGGCTATGCAGTCTCTGGTCTACCATTCTAGCACAGAACAGCCTTAGTAAATATGTAACTGAAGGGGTGTGTCTGTGTTCCAGAGCTTTACTCACAAGCCTGAGTTCTCGGCCATGTTGGCCCCATGGACCATAGTATGCTGGTGCCCAATCTCCCACAGTGATCACACATGTGTACACATACACACGTGAATTCACTCCTTTTCTTCTTCTTCCTGTAGATGAAGTGTTTGTTCTTTATACATAGCATTAAAAAAATGGATATTACAGAGAAAGGGCTTCACCAGAAATGGTTTGTTACATTAGTGTAATGGATTTTCAAAACACTTGGCCAAATTCTTCATTACCCTGCACCTTATAGTCACACTTAGAGTTTGGATTAAACCAGCAAGACTATCCCAGACATAATTTATTCCCAAACTCTGAGTTGTCCTACAGAATGCATTATTCTAAGAGAGACTAACTGAGAGAGATGATATGGGTATAAGTAACCCCAAGCCCCAAAATTGGTTCAAGCTTCCAGGGACCCTTTCTACCAGAATTGACCTAAAACATAGACTAGAATCCTGTATATATCTCAGTCCACACCTGAACTGAGTAAGAATTCCACTTCTGGGGGACCTTGGCCAGTCTGATGGATTTTTTTCTTGTCAGAGTTTATTCTACAAAGATATTTTTGTCCCACTTTAATGTATTTGTAATGTTGTAGACAGAGCTACAATACAATGCCAAGAGTTACTGCGCATATTTCAGTGACATCTTTTAATGCAAAGCTCCTCTAAACACTGTACTGTAACATTGGTGTACCAAGAATGATCCCTTCAGCCCTTGGGCCCTAGAAGGGGATCAGAGCCCCAGGGCAAGTCACGTGTCTGGCCATGGCCAGCCTCTTGTGTTTATCTCAGTGTGTCATACACATAGTGTCGTTTGTCTATGTGCTATGACTAGGGAAGGGCTGAGAACACTATTTTAAAGTACATAGTTAGACCAGCATTATCCTACTAAGTTCATTGTACTTCTTTTTGTTTCCAAATTTTTAGTTGGCACTTTGTGATTCAAAATTATTACACATTAATACTGAACAATTTTCTTACTGCTTTCTAACAGTTTCATTCCAAGAGGAAAACCCATTTCATTTTCAGGTCATTCCAGGGCTATCTCCTTTTTCCTGCTAATGCCTACATCGCATTGTGACCAGTGGTCACACATGTGCTGCTCGACTGTCCTTGGATGTGTTCCAACTACGGCTGATGGATTCATTACAGCCACTTAGGTGGGAGTCTAGCTCCCGAAGGGTCATTGCTGCCTTACTAGTTCTCTCTGAATGCATCTTATCTGTGTGCTTTATGGCTCTTTTATATAATAGAGTGAGCTCTGACCCAGGAAAGAAGTTATTTTCATAACTTTTGATCATATGTTGTGTGTTTACAAATACATACCATTCCATATTACTGCATCATTAAATAACAGTGCTAAAGCAACACTTTTCCTTTTACTTTATTGCTCTTAAATGTGTTACTTTTCCTACCATAGTTCTTGCTAGATTTCTTCATTTCTGATGCATAAGCATTTCTGGTGCATATGCATACTCATAGAGTAATGGATTCTTATGTTGATTTCTGCACATGATTTTCTGTCCTAATCCTTCATCAGCACTTCTGCCTCCTGTTTCTGATGTTGGCCGTATTTTTCCCAGGTAATGATGTACAAGTGGCTGCATAAACTGAGATTATTTGTATAAACAGTGTAAGCTGTCAGCACATATTTCAGAACATTGGATATAGCTTCCTCTAGGGAATAAAGCCACTGCACATCGGATGATGATGTATAGGTCACAGGGCTGTGGGATTCAAAGAAATGATGCACATAAAATCATTTTGTGAATGGTAAAACACAGTACAAAACTAATGGTTTAATATTGTTGGAAGCGGTACCTTAGATTCCCTTAGTATAATTTTGCTAAAAATACACCATTTTGCTTTTTCTGTTTTCACTTGTTGAGCAGGTTTTCCTTCTGTCAGTACCCATTCGTTATTTCTATAGCCGCAAAAAAAATCATTATTCAAAGAGACTCAGAACAACAGATGATAAGCATCGCAAGGGTAAGCCAGCTATGAAAACATTTATGCTGACTATAATCAATATATATTAAATAATTTAACAAATAAGTCAAATGTCATGTGAATTGTTCTAGCATAATCAGGAAATGTCAAAAGTAAAATTCATATCATACGCCCTCAAAAAGTACTTAAACCTATTCGTGATACAGGGGAAAAAATACTCCTCATCAACTTCTCATTGTTTTATAAATATAGCAGGAAGGTTAAATGCCTCTCACAGATCCAAAGTAGTGGGAACTTGGACATCATTTTGTAGATACCATCCTCCTGGGTCACTAGCAATGCATCAGTGAGAAAGAACTACAGTGAGGACAAGAAAAGGGGTGTCCTTGAGAGCAAACCGCTCAAACCACTGACACTTTTCTAAATTTTATGAGAGTCAAATAGAAACAGCTGAAAAATTAGAAAATAGCAAAAAGTGTAGTCTTAGAAAACTGAAAAATATGTGCATAGATGGTGAGGGGTGTTTTGTTGATTCTTAGGGAACCAAAATGCCTGCAGGCCCATTGAAATGGATAGCAATCAGGGCGGCTTTAGGAGGATGAAGTTCATCTCTGGGCCTGTCCTGTCCACTGCCTACCACGATTTCTGCGTAACACAGTAAAGTTATAGATGAAGTACATAATTACTTTGTGCTTTTTTAAAAAAAATTATAGCTCTAGACTATACACTTTAATACTCATATGTTTTTGAGTTTCTGCTTTTGCGACATGATTACTTAACAAGTTTAAAACTTAGAGAGGTTGGCAATAGTCTTCTTAAAATAGAGACCACCAAGACAGACCTGTAGAGTAAAAGAAATGATTTCCATGTCTTGTTCAAGGATATAAAAAGAATTCTAAGGCATAATTATAATACTACAAATACCATAAAAGTAAGAATTGTTGATTTTTCAGTAATTCACCAGAAGGTGAGTATTTTTTGCTATCACAGAGCGGGACAAAAGATTTGAGTGACTAGTGACATCCCAGAGTCAGTTTAACACTGAGTGTTGGAGTATTAGAAGAAATGGTATCGCCTCTGTGTACCAAAGGAGTAACATAGCCATATTACCCTGCTGAGAAGTAGATTTCAACAGGTATATTTAGCACCAGAATTACTAATCCTGGTTAGATGTTGGCTCAAAGATTAGTCTATCTAGCTAGTCGTTTTGATGATTAGCATTTATGCCATTTCATGTGCCTTTTTAGGTTTTTTTTTTTAAGCCTTGGGCTATGATTTTTTTATTTATAAGAAAAAAATTTAAAGAGCTAGAAGTTTAAGTTCCTTTGAGCAGTTTTCTGCTGTGCCACTCACACTTAAGATTTTAAATACCTTCTTTTAAATTCCCTTCCAATTAAAAGCAGAGTGGCAGCTGTAGCATGTATCCTGGGCTGTCTTCCACAGAGCAAGGGCACAACTGAGTAGCAACTGGAGAGTCCAGTGGCGTTCCCAGTTATGGGTGTTTCCCAGCATTTTCGCTTGTAAACTATGCCATACTATTTGGAATTAATGACTGGTGACTATTTTGACACAGGGTAACCTTATAGATAGTTAATATAAGCAAGAACTAAAATAGTATAATTTAAAGTTGTGAAAGTGATTTCCCAGATTAAAAATAACTTCCTCATCAGTCTGTGTCTAAAATTCTACCATCATTGGGTTATTTCTTTCATCTGAAGCACTTTCTATGCAGTATGAATCTCTTGACGGGAGGAGGAGCCACTAAGCTTTGTCTTCCATTAGCATCCTAGTTTAAATTTGTGTGTTGGATAATTTCCAGTGTGATGGCTTCCCAGGAGCTCGACTGGAAACAGAAGATAAGAAGGGGTTGGAAAAACAGGTCCATGACACTGCATACTATTCTAGGAATATAGATCTGTTTGAGCACAAAAGAGAGAACCCAGAGAAGGGGAAAGAAAAAAAAAAACTACTGCAAGCTTTTAGAATCGAATACTGGAGAGATGAAGAAGGGCTCTGAATTAGTATATTATTATAGTAATCTACAAAATCATGAAAGTAGCCTTACTATATAGATTTGGGCTATTGAAATTTTACCTATTAAAGCAAATTGCTGCATTTATATAAAATGTCAGAATGTTTATCTTTAATCTGCACAGTAATTCATTTTCTTTGCTACCAAAGAGGATGAGGTAGTCTGAAAGTTTAGATAAATTAAATATATTACACAAGCATGTAGACTTTATATGATAAATGACATTCATATATTTCTTATACTTTTGTAAAACATCCCCTTATTTCCAACACCCAGGCATAAATATTGTTAACATTTTAGGGAATTTGCTTTTGATAGTCTTTACCTGTATTATCTTTTAAGAGGCATCAGAGTTGAAACAATATTGTGTATACAATTTTGTTTCCTAGCTTTTTTTAGTTGTACATTCCTTAAACATTTTCCATGTTATTTACATGATTTTTATGACCATCATTTTTGATAACTGTATTATAATTCCACTAGACATTCATACTTAGTATATTTCTAAAGTTTTGCTTTTATAGATGATGCTGTGATGAATGTCACTGTATAAAATATTTCCTCTGTTTAGTATTGGGACAAAGGATATGAGCATTGTTAATGGTTTCTGAAATATGTTGAAAATTACTTTCTAGAAGTAGATTGTAGAGTAAATCCAGTATCGTAAAAAGCGTAAGCCAAGTTTATCATCAGACGTATGTACCTTGTTCCCAATGTTCCTACTTTGTTTGTGTTTATTAAACACAAAACTTTGCTACGTAAGAGGTGAGACATACAGAAGCAGCAGTGCAACATTCTTTTACTGTAGAAGTTGAATTATTTTGGGGTCCTCCATTTTGTATCCCCTTCTGTTATAATTGTCCCAAAATGAAATAATAAGGCATTTTCATAAATCAAAATTTGCATAATTGAGTTTATGAAATTGTTTATATGAGAGATGGTAAAGAGAAGAATATAAGTGATTTTTACCTAAGTGTTTAAATGTTTTAATTGAGATTATAGTTCAAGTAAAAATGAAAATGTTTGCTTTCTTTTTCAATTAGCAAAGTCTGGTGGATAAAGTATCTCGAAGACAGAGACCTGATATGAATATGTTATTTCTAAATATGAAAGTAAGGCGGACACATCTGGTTAGCGATTCTCTTGATGAGGTATAGATTATTTATTCCAGATTAGTATTAATTGATTAAAGTTCTAAATTGATAATGTGGCTTATTACTAAAATCTTAGTAAGCTGTCTTTATTTCTGTATGCCAGTGGTGTGCTTTCTTATATTTTGATACAATGGTTGAAAACAGTTCTGTATTCATAGTTAAGCCTTATGTTCATTTTTTTATATGTTTTTTAGTGGTTTGTTGTTAAATATTCAGAAAAGGATTTCATATAAAACACTTAAATGAGTAATTCATATTTCTGAATATATAATGTAGATTCTAGACCACCTTTGTTAACTGATTGGGTGCCTAACAAGTCATTTTAACTTCTCCAGGCCTCAGATTACTCATCTGTAAAATTAGAAGTCTGATCTCCAAGGATATATTGGGTATATTTAGGGTCAAACATATTGATACTTTGATTGTATATACATGTATTATTAAACTTCAAGCATGTACAGTTCTTTAACCAGATTTTCATGTGAATATTATAATATTTGATTTAATTATGTGATTTTTTTAAAACTTTAGTGTTGAAGGCAAGTTTAAATGAGTTACTTTGTACTGTATTTGACTAAATTAAAATCTTGGAGTCAGTACGATGCCAGTGGGCAATAACCTTGAGCAAGGTACCTGACTTTCCTAATTCTGTTGCTTGAATCTATACAGCAAACATTACAATAGGGTTGGGCAGATTTATTGGATGGATGGATGGATGAAGTTTTGTGACATTGTAAATATGATAATGCATTTCCCAGAATTTAAAAGGTTAATTTCCTTTTTTACTGCCTTTTGCTCTCCTCTATCTTATAATTTCCTTAGTTAACCCGGAAAAGAGCAGACCTGAAAAAGAAGTTGAAAGTTACATTTGTAGGGGAAGCTGGTTTGGATATGGGTGGCTTGACTAAAGAATGGTTCCTTCTTCTAATTCGCCAAATTTTTCATCCAGATTATGGTGAGTAGTTAATTTCTGTGAAAGTGTTTTCTTCCTGATCGTTAGATTTGTCACTCATTTTTAATCTATGATTTTACAGATTTTTTGTCAATCATAAATGTTGAATAATTTTTTAAAGACTGTTAGTTGCATTTTTTAAATTGACCAAATTGATGATTATATTTATTATCTTACTGGGAATCCTACACAAAATGTATTAGCATAGAAGCATTCACATGTTTTCTGACTAAGCCAAATATGTAAAAATTTGTCATTGAAATAAAAAGAACATGAAAAATTTTAAGATCAGAGCTATAGTTTGCTCTTCACTAATATTCAAACTCTCTTTCATAAAATAATGAGCCATTTTAATAAATAGGAAGCATTAAATAAACCTTTGAACTTTAATTTGGTTTCATTTGATTTAGAGAAAACACCTATATAATTCTTAGTATTGTTAAGCATTTTCTTCAAAAGAGTTTTAAGTGTTTTCTTAATTCTTTATTTTTCTTAATTTTGTATATATGTTTATATAATATCTCTCTGGTAATGGGAAATAGAGATGACAGTGATGAAGTCTCCAGATAATCCTCAGAATTAATTTTGCTGACTTACAAAGTATAAAACTATAGTTTCTATAAATCAACTGATTAATTTAGTTTCTGTCTTTTTCCCATTTCAACCCTTGGTTCAGGATACCAGTGAAGAATAAAAGGCTCTTGCACACTCTCTGGACCCTTATTTGATATATTTTAACATGAAAATTGGTCTGTAACATAACTATTGCTGAACTGTTTTGCTTCTAATAGAGGAGATATCATGTACATGTTTACCATTTTGATTTTTTAAATCAATTATATTGATGAAATTATGCTTCTATTTTCCAGGCATGTTTACGTATCATAAGGATTCATACTGCCATTGGTTTAGCAGCTTTAAATGTGATAACTATTCTGAATTCCGATTGGTTGGAATTGTATCCTTTAAACTTTCCACTAGGAGGTGCTAGTAGATTAGAGATTTTTAAGAATTTTATCTGAATTTTGGAAAACGGTTCTCATTAATTTATTCAGATTAAAGATTCTTATCAAATTTACTAGTAGATTTTTCCGTAGTCTTTATTATTTTGTAAGATCACAGCCATATAATTATCAGCAGATTTAGTTAACTGGAAAGAGTGACTGAACTGTTAACATATTTCTCTGAAAACCTTATCTCAAGTATTATTTGCTATTTCATTTACAACCTACATTATCAGAAACTTAAGACATTTTTAAAAGTCAAAGTGACTTTCCTATTCATAATGAACTATTCCCTTAGTTCTTTCACTTTGTGCTTACTTCACTAAGTTTTCTAAATTGATTATGAAGATTAAATCTAATGTGGCCTCAAATCCTGAGACATTCATAAGAATTAAAAATTGAATGGAATGGGAACATTTGAAGCATACAGCATTATTTTATAGTGTTTTTTAAAATTATATAAATTCCTACACCATCCTCTGATTCCTTCAGGTTTGTTGGAGAGGGTGTTCCTGCATTGGGTGGGAGATTGGACAGGATGCCTTCTGCATTCATTTTTAAATTCTAAAAAATATAATTGTCTGTGGAAGAAAGAGAAGAATAAATAAATGAGCAAATCTTAGGGATACATAGGTTAAAAAAAGAAAAAATATCTACTTTAAGAAGCTTACCATCTAGATGGACAGATGACCACCCATGCAGGTAGTTTGTTCTCAGAATCCAATGACCATTTGGCATTAAGTGCTAAGGAGTTCTGAGAAGGAAACAGTTCATTGTATTCGTCCCAGAGAAGGTAGAGTTTTTAAATGGAACCAATATATTTTATTAAACCAGGATTGGAGAGAGTGGGACCTGGACTGGGAAAATGGCTGGGAAAGAGTCCACACTGTGCTGGCCATCACAGAGCAATGTGTAGGTCCTCTTGTTGGGAGCAGGGGGCTCTCTGAGAGCTATAGATGGTGCTGGCAAAAAAGATTCAGTTCAGTTTTGTCGCTCAGTCATGTCCAACTCTTTGCAACCCCATGGACCATAGCATGCCAGGCCTCTCTGTCCATCACCAGCTCCCGGAGTTTACTGAAACTCATGTCCATTGAGTCGGTGATGCCATCCAACCATCTCATCCTCTGTTGTCCCCTTCTCCTCCTGCCTTCAGTCTTTCCCAGCATCAGAGTCTTTTCAAATGAGTCAGTTCTTCACATCAGGTGGCCAAAGTACTGGAGTTTCAGCTTCAGCATCAGTCCTTCCAATGAATATTCAGGCAAAAAAGATTAAGAGCCGTCAGATGGAGGGCTTTGAATATCATCTGACTTTGTGACATTTATTGGAATACATTCTGAAGAATGTATATGGAAATCAAGAAACTGCATGGAAGAAAAGGGAGTAGGGAAAACCACACACTATGAAAGTAAACTTAATCTGAAATTTGATTATGTGTTGTCTTATCTAAAGGTCCAAAGTGCCAAGCCCACAGTAAGGAACGTGTAACAGTTCCTAGAATCATATGTTTATTCTATTATTTACAGTAGTCATTTGTTGAATGTTTCAACTTCATTGAAGGCCTGAGTTATTAATACTTCTCACTACACTAGGAGTCATTTGAATTTCCTGATAAATATGTTTGTCATACTTTACATTCTTATCATGGCTTAGGTTTGACTTAGTTTGGCTTTCTAGTGTTTGTAATAAAGTATTAGCTCTACACTACATTTTCAGAGTAGTATATGTGACATCGTGAACTTGCTTACCGGGTTTTTTGGGGTTTTTTGCAATAGGCATTAGTTTCTATTCAGTCATTACCCAAAAGAGCATATTAAATGCATTTAGATGTTGTATATTACAAGTTGAACAGTTATATCTAAAATTAATTTATAAACACTTCTATCTCCTTATCAGAGGGACTTCCCTGGTGGCTCAGATGGTAAAAGCGTCTGTCTACAATGCAGAAGACCAGGGTTCGATCCCTGGGTTGGGAAGATCCCCTGGAGAAGAAAATGGCAACCCACTCCAGTACTCTTGCCTTGAAAATCCCATGGGTAGAGGAGCCTGGTAGGCTACAGTCCATGGGGTCGCAAAGAGTCGGACACGACTGAGCGACTTCACTTTCACAACGCTTTCATTTTCATCTCCTTATTATGTGTATTGGTCTCACACACAAACTATAGAAAGGTTGCTACCCTGAAAAGCATGATATTTTATATGAAAAATGTGTGATGACAGTGGACTGTGGTCACGTAAGTGGTTGAAAAATCTACCAGAGGTGAAGAGAACAAAAAATTTAGAAGTAATAGGTGTGGTGATTAAGAAAATATAATTGGCTCCATACATAATTCCAATTTTAAAATTTCAGAGGGGCTTCTTAGGTGGCTCAGTGATAAAAGAATCTGCCTGCCAATGCAGGAGACATGGGTTTGATCCCTGAGTTGGGACAATCCCCTGGAGAAGGAAATGGCAACCCACTCCAATATTTTTGCCTGGGAAATCCCATGAACAGAGGAGGTCTGGTGAGCTACAGTGCATGAGGTTGCAAAGAGGTGGTCATGACTGAGAACACACACATAAAAGCATTCACTAAAATTTCAGAACCAAAGATTTATTGGTCTATTAGTTCTCACAATATTGTATTTCTAATACGATTATTTTTAAATATTAAGGCCTTGGAGTTTACAAGAAATGTTATAATGAAACCTATAGTAATAATTATAAAATGTTTTGAAGATCACATGAAGAGCCATAATCTAATAGTTTTTTAGAAGTAGAATTACCAGAAAGGCGTTTTAACTAAGGATGGGGCAATATAATATAGTGCAGGGTTTTCAAATTCCACCCTCTTTGCACCACATGGTATCTCCAGCAGAATTCCCACACTCCTACCCCTACTTCAACCAGAGCAGCTTTAGTGTGAAATCAGTGTGATTCTCTTGCAATGAAGGTGCCCTAAAGCAGATCCTGTGAACCTACTTCCTTATCTGTTAAAAACCTTCCTGCAGGATTATAATTTTTTTTAATTTAATGAAAAAGGCTTAGAACTTATCACTATAGTAAATGATCATACATGGTAACTACAGTAATATGGTACTTACTTCTGTTATTGTTATTATCATGATTATAGGAGTATATTAGGGCTTATTTTCAATATCCTTTCTCTACAACACACTTCTCGGTCTCTGTTGGTATGGTTACCTATAAAATAACATAGCTGTTCCTTAGATTATTATTAGCCTTTTTCTGCCCTAGCAAATTAAAATATTGGCTATTTTCTAAATCTTTTAAATTGTTTTTAATGATTTGTCCAGACCATATGTTTAGATTTCCTTTTAAGTCAGTAAAAGTAATGACTTCTTAAGAAGTTGTTATTATAATCTTTGACAGTTGAAATGTCGTAAAATTTGCTCTAAAACCCCTCGTTTAGCAAATAGATAAAGTTACATTCTGCTGTATAACTGATTAAAAAAAATACAGTTGGGCAAAGTATAAATATAACATCTGTAGCTTTTTAATTTAACACTTTGAGTAAACTCCAGGTAATAAGTCTTTCCGGTATTACTGTGGGAAATTGTGTCTTATCAGTAGTGTGTGTGTATGCAGATGTCTGTGTGTGTGTTTCCATGTGCCTACTCAATACAGCTCTCTCTATGTAGCCTGTATTTAGTTTGAAAGTAGCCAAAATGGTCACCAAAATCAATGGAATGTTCTGCAGCGAGTTCTGAATAAACTGCTGCTAATAAAATCACCACCATCTTTGTTTAAATTTAGAAATTTTCTTATATGTTAAATAGACTTCCCTGGTGGCTCAGATGGTAAAGCATCTGCCTACAATGTGGGAGACCTGGGTTCAATCCCTGGGTCAGGAAAATCTCCTGGAGAAGGAAATGGCAACCCACTCCATTGTTCTTGCCTGGAAAATCCCATGGATGGAGGAACCTGGTAGGCTACAGTCCATGGGGACACAGAGTCAGACACGATCTTTGTTTAAATTTATAAGTTTTCTTATATGTTTTCTTATAAGTTTTCTAATATGTTAAATACTTTATAGAAATGTGTGAACTTGCTATTGTGATCTTAGATATACAGTTTTCTAGGGAAATCATTAAATACTATTACCTGAACCTCTCCTTTTTACATAATTTTTGGTAATCAAGGAATTCTATTATGTAAAATAAAGGGAAAATAAAGGAAAGAGGAAGTATGTGGGATTAATTAGAAAATCAGTGTTAGATCTGAAAAAAGTATGCAAGAAATAGATGCATAATTCAAAACTCATTTGTTGTCATGGATTTTATGTTAATGCTTAACATTTAGTATGCATAGCTTATGGGACTAGCTGTGTATAACAGCATTACTTTGGATATTCGTTTCCCCCCCTGCTGCTATAAGAAATTATTGAGCCCTCCCATCGTTCCTAGTGATCAAAATACGCCAGTAGGCATCTGCAGTGTTACCACTGACGACCTGTGTCAAATCATGCCTGTAAGTATACAGTTGTTTAGTATCTTATCCCTTACTGCTTAGTCATCCTTCTTCTACTACAGTCTGTCTCCTCCTGGTAACTATTTTTATGTTTAGATATGCTTTCCCTCTACATTTGTAACCTGTCTCCTCTTTGGTCTAATTTTCTCCTTCCCTGTAGAGATACGTAACCCACTTTGCAGCACTTAGCTCTTCCAGCATAGTGGAACAAGCCTTGAGTCAGAGGCAGAGATTTGAATCTGGCCTCTGCAATTTACAAGCTCTGTGAATTTGAATAAGCTGCTTATGTTTCTGAACTCTAGTTTCCTTATGTGAACAGTGGAATAGTAAAACTTACATATCAGGAAGATTACACGAGATGATAAAGTACTCAGTATTCAATACTTGATTGCTTCTGTGGATTCTTATCAATGTGTCACTATGCAATATCATTAACAATGTCTGCAACAACACCCTTAATAAAATCAATGAATTTCACAGACCTGTCTCGATATTCTGCTATTCAGAGACTAGACTTCCAATCATCAGATTTAATCCAGTGTTAAAATTTAGTAGAAGAATGGATAGTATGCTCATCATACTGACAATCCCCTACAATAATAATACTTTTCACAGCTGAATTTTGATAGCCATTGGTCAGCAGAGAATTCCCTTCACTATTCTTAGTAAGTAGCTGGATGTGGACATCCTCTTTGTTTCTTAAGGACCTATTTAAATATTGTTGTGTTTTAGCTAATGGTCAGATCACTTTGGTGTAGAGTTGGAACCTTCCTACCAAAGTTGAAAAACCTCTCCAGAACACGTGACCAATTAGAAAACCATTCTTCATGTGATTTCAAACACATTTTTTAAAGTAACTTTGGATTCTTTTGAATTAAGAGCCTAAATCCATATTTTTACAAGACTCAGTAGTTGGAAAAGGTAATAGAGTAAATTCTATTCTTTCTTAAGAAAGATTTGCCCTCTATACTCTTGTATTTTGGCCACATACTACCTGTGACCTGGACAGTTTACTGAATTTGCTTATTTGTATAACAATGAAAGTTATTGTTACATCTATACACTAATATATACTAGTGTATAATACATATTAATACTATATATACTAATGGCTGAACTAACTTCTCATTTTAGATTTCTGTGATATTTTTTGGTCCCATATGTGCAGTTTTTGTCAAATTTTTACCAATAGATTTCCTAATTTTATTACTGATTTTTACCAATAAATTGTCTGATTTTAGGATTAAAGCTATTTAAACTTGAGTCATTTGGATCCAAGTTTTTAGTTAATGGATATTTTATGAATGACTATACCAATATGTTTTTTCGTATTATGGAGCTGAAGATGATACTGAGTTAATTTCATAGTCCTACATTGCCTCTTTAATGATGAATCAAGATTGTGCATAAACTATGAGATCAACTGAAAAAAAACTGAGTGTCTGTGCAGGCATGAATGAAGATTGAAAGGAAGCAAGAAAACTGCTGTGTTAGGATAGTAGAATGCGGGGGAATTTTTTTAATTTTTAAAATGGAATATCAATGTATGAATGGCATCTATTAAAATTAGCACCTAATTCCCATTTCATACATGGCAAAACATGTCTAGAAAAATGTGAAGTGCTTTTTTTATTCAGTGCTTTGTTTACCATTTGTATCTGTACAGTATGTGTTTCAAGAAGAGTAAACAGGAAGGCAAAGAGAAACCTATAGTGATATATTTCCTAATTTAAACACAGTATTTTTGAATAAGGATTAAGAAACACACAGAAAGTAAGCAAAATATTCAATGATGGACCCTTCAGTATAGTGTTAATAGGCCAATGCTTTTCCGTGACCATGTTAATGGAAACTCCATTGCTTTTGTAGAGAAGGGGGTCCATGACTCAAAGCATCAGAACTGTCCCATGGCAACAACAAATCTTCCCTACAAGCCTTGTGAAAATTACCCTTGAGGGTTTTATGAGAATGGAGAGGCTAAGTATAACCTTGAATCAGCAACTGTAGTAGCTTTTTTCTCTTCTGTTTAAGTCACTGTCCAGTACGGTCTGTTAAATAATACCAGGGTATTCAAATAGTATATAAAACCTATATCTTCATGCATTTTTAATTTTATATTTATAAAAATCATAAAAACATTGAACTATGGGCTAATTAATAATATTTTTACATTTAATAATCTTAACTATAGATAAAAAAATTAAAAATTGAGTTTTGAAAATACAAAGGCTGGGAATAAAAGTCCCTACAGTCGAATAAAGCAGATCTGAGTATATAACTTTATTACCTAATTGACTTTGTATTTTATCACTAAAAATTCGATCTTTGAAAGAATATGGTAAATCCTTTCAGTTGGATTAATCTACTACTTCCTTGAATTCTTTTAAAAAATGCAGATCTACCAATTATAATTTTCAGGAGCCATAACTTTATTAGTAATGGAAACAAATGATAAAAAATCACATTAAAACCTATGTCACCCTAGATTTGTTTTAAAATTTATTTTAGTGGAATGGAAAATTTAATGTGTAAAATGTGTAAGATCATTCTAAACATGCTGTTCTTTATCTTTTCTGCTAATGTTTAAAATAAAACACTTTCTGTACAACCTGAAATTTTAAAAAATACTGGCTTAGTTTTTCTATTTTTAAATCTCTGTCCAGGGGAAACATGAGTTACAATGTAGGAAAACATTTCTTCCCGTGTTCTCAACTTTTTATTGGGAGGGGAGAACCCTGAACTGAAATGTAAAGACCACTTCGCATATATAAACTGTGTATTTTTATTTAAAAGAGGAATTCTAAAACATTAACAGATTTTTTTAAGAATATAAACTGAGAATGAGAAATACTACAAATTCATAAACAGTGGTATTGCAGTTAGCAGTGAATTATGATGGAAACTGTACTCTTAGCTCTCTGCATAAGAATAGACCCCAGAGTTATGCCTTTATGGGTATAACTGGATATTTTCCTTCATGTGACCTTTCCAGCAAATTTTTCCAAAACTTTTACATGGTAGAAATCATTAACCAGTATTTTTTACCCTGGAAGATATGTCCCAATGTTATCTTTATTTCAAAATCTTGAGTTTATCTCATGTGTAAGTGAGCTATAGTAGATCTGGTTTACTGTTTGGGGTAGTACTATTTGATTTAAAAACGCAAATAACAGGTTTCTCTTTACAGGAGTTGGCCCATGGATTAAGTGAACTCCTGTCATATGAAGGCAATGTTGAAGAAGATTTCTATTCCACATTTCAGGTACCATTAAGGGCAAATAGCTTTCTGTTAACCAGGTATTTCATATATGAAAAATACCCCTTGTTACCATATACCGAGCGTTAGAAAAGAGGAACAAGGATTGATCTGTGCATACCACTCCCTATCTTAAAGGATCTTAACCCGATTAAAAACAGTGAAAAAGTTAAGTGTTAGCTCCTCAGTTGCATCCAACGCTTTTTGACCCCCCTGGACTGTAGCCTGCCAGGCTCCTCTGTCCATGGAATTCTCCAGGCAAGAATACTGGGGTGGGTTGCCATTTCCTACTCTAGGGGATCTTCCTGACACAGGGATCAGCCCCGAGTCAGCTGTATTGCAGGCAGATTCCTTACCATCTGAGCCACCGGGGAAGCGCAGAGACATTGAAGCAGACATGTGTAAGGAAGCAGTCAAGGAAAGCCAACAAGGGTGAGGGTACTCTGCAAGGCACCTGGCCTATATCCTGGACGCAGTTACTTCCTCTGAGCTTTTCACCTTCTAAAAACAAGCCTCTTCTGTTAGTTCAGTACAAGAAGTAAGGAGCAGAAGTTAATCGATCAGACCAAAATCCTCTCATTTCCACTCTCCTAAAAATAATCCGAAGGTGGAAATGATAGTAATCCACATAGCTCCAAAGGCCTGAGTGCTACCCAAATGGTCACACAAATTTTTTTAAACATCAGTAAAGTATTTAGCTGTATTCAAGAGGGTTAAGACCCTACTTTTTTACTCCATAATGCTTTCATGACACCATTCTTTTTTTTTTTTTTTTGATCTTATTTATTTATTTTTTAATTTTTTGGGGGGTTTTGTCATACATTGACATGAATCAGCCGTGGATTTATATGTATATCACAAGAGCCAAACCTTTCTGTATTTTGTAATTTAGAAAAGAGGGAAACACTTTTTTTTTTTAATGTTACAAACCTGTTCACTGAAGTCTGTTAACATATACCAATAAATGTGGTATGTCGGTATCTCCCATTAGGTGTTTCAAGAAGAATTTGGAATAATTAAGTCCTATAATTTAAAGCCAGGTGGTGATAAAATTCCAGTTACCAATCAAAATAGGAAAGGTAAGTTAAAACACCTTTTCTTAACTAAAGTGCATTAGTGTTTGCCATTTACTTTTATTATTTAACAGATGTAAAATTGCTTTTCAGAATATGTACAGCTTTATATTGACTTTCTTCTCAACAAATCCATCTATAAGCAGTTTGCTGCATTTTATTATGGATTTCATAGTGTGTGTGCTTCAAATGCCCTAATGGTGAGTTTAAAGCTTCATGCTTTCAGTTAGGCTTTGTAATACTATGATACTGACAAGTAATTCTTTAAAACATTTTAAATTTAAAAAAAAAAATTATTTTTAAATTTTTTAAAAGTTTATTTTCTAGTTTTTAAAGCTAGAGCTGGAAATAAAAATAGTTCTCTCATTTCAGCCTTAACTCTCTAAAGAGAAAAAAGACCAGTCAACTCCATCCCCACTACCCATTATGCTGTATCTTAAACTATGTCTTCTAAGCTTTAAAAAATTTCCCCAAGCAGAGTGGCTGAAGAGATCCCCAAGGGCTCCAGACCTTTAAAACTGAGGCACAAAATGCTGAAAATGGTTAACATAAGCTCCAGGCAAAAGCTACAACTTCTCACCGTTTAAGGAACAGGTTTTTATAGCGGCTTCATTCCTCTTCAGGGGTCCCCCAGCAACTCTGAGTGGCCTTTTTCCCACAGGAAGTAGTTTATCTCCAGAGTCATGGTGGGCTCTGGTCAGTTTGACTTTTTCTTAACTGTGTGAGTATGGGTGAGCTGCTGTTGAGAGCACCGAATCAGAAACGTCATAAAAGTCTCTTCATCCCTGCTCCTCTGGGCACACTCCATCAAGCCATCTCCACTCAGCTTTATAAGGAGGGTTTGGAGTCAGGTCTTCCATGTGAATTATTTTGCAGAGGAGAGAACTTGCTTTAGAGTGGTAGATAGTCTTTCAGTTCAGTTCAGTCGCTCAGTCGTGTCCCACTCTTTGTGACCCCATGGACTGCAGCACACCAGGCCTCCCTGTCCAGCACCAACTCCCAGAGTTTCCTCAAACTCATGTCCATTGAGTCCGTAATGCCATCGAACCATCTCATCCTCTGTCGTCCCCTTCTCTTTTGCCCTCAATCTTTCCCAGCATCAGGGTCTTTTCAAATAAGTCAGTTCTTTGCATCAGATAGCCAAAGTATTGGAGTTTCAGCTTCCCCATCAGTCCTTCCAGTGAATATTCAGGATTGATTTCCTTTAGGATGGACTGGTTGGATCTCCTTGCTGTCCAAGGAGCTCTCAAGAGTCTTCTCCAACACCACAGTTCAAAAGCATCAATTCTTCGGTGCTCAGCTTTCTTTATAGTTCAGCTCTCACTATGTGATGATCTTTATCACATGTTTATTGAAAGTACCTTTGAATATGGAGCACTTGTTGATTTCTAATTAAGTTTTGTCTGCAATGCACTGTAGTTCTAGGGGTAGAAGGAAGGAAAATAAATAGTGTAGCAAGTGTTCATTTTAAAATTCTAATCTCTTTAGGTGGGAGACAAGCTGTGTAGGTGAAAAAACAAGTGAACAACACAAAACAGACTAACCTACTACTCAAATGCCACATTGTGCACAGGAGGCTTCGTGGATGTTGGATCCAGGCATGTCAGTAGATGCTAGAGTAGCTGAAAGAGTTTCAAGCTGGGTTTTGGGGAAGAGCTGTAATTTGGATTTATGCCTAGTCATCTACTTGTTTTTCTAGCTAATTGCTGTTATTTGCAAGAGGGGGAATCTAAGAGTTGGGCAAGATTTATAAACTTTCAGAAGCAAAAATATCCCAGTAGGAAAAATATAAACGGAGAATATTTTTCCTTAAAAAATGGTTTGATTTACTATAAGAAGGTCATGATTTTTGTTGCTTGATTCAGTGGAAACAGTTCCAGTTTCCCTTTTTTTGATCATCACTTTTTCTTATCATTTTTGATAAATAATTATTGGCAGCTGCTTCGTCCAGAAGAGGTTGAAATTCTAGTCTGCGGAAGTCCTGAACTGGATATGCATGCCCTACAGAGAAGTACACAGTATGATGGTTACGCGAAAACTGACTTGACTATCCGGTGAGCTGTTTATACTTCTGAGAGTGAGGCTGCTGAAGAGGGAATGAAAGAGAATGTGGTTGGTTTATTTGTGTAACTTACAATCTTTGAATCAAGTTAAGTCACCAGAAATCTTGTACAGCCCACACTGCCTTCTTTTATCTCTTGAAAGTAACGTGAGAATATTCAATATGAAATCACTTCACAGTCCCCTTGGGAGAAAGTGATATAAGTAAGCTTCTACAGAAGTCCAGAGAGTTGACTTATTTTAAAAAATGGCTTTGGTCCTAGAATTGCAGAGATGCCATGCTTATAAAAAGCCTTTTAATAGCACTGTGTTGAAAAATATGGAAAATTATATAGAAGAAAAATGTCTTATGTACTCTCCGTTGTTGGACTATTTTTATAATGATGTTAGTCAGAACTCTAATTTATATATAGAAGCCTGTCATTCCTCCATTTCAGTTTGAGAGTAGTCTGTACCTCTAAGGGAATTGTTTCCCTAGAGCTTACTTTATATTATTTTATTCTCATCTGCAGGACTTTTGTCATTTTATATACATTTTATATAAATTTCCTTTGGTGTCCTCTAGATACTTTTGGGATGTTGTGCTTGGATTTCCTCTTGATCTTCAAAAGAAGTTGTTACATTTTACTACAGGAAGCGACAGAGTTCCTGTAGGAGGAATGGCTGATTTAAACTTTAAAATCTCAAAGAATGAAACTTCTACTAACTGGTAAGTTTCCAGATTGTCATTCATTTTTTTTAATCTATAGGTTTTGCTAATAATAGTATGCTTGGAATTAGAAGGTTCTTTCAATATGAAGTTGTTTTCTCAGAAAAATGCTAGAAGTAAACATGGCTTTGAAATAAGATAGACTATGGCTTAAGGTTCTTTATTAAGTTTGAGACATACCAATACTAACTGATAATAATTCCTTTCCATCAACTTTTTACTTTGCTAAGTCAATTACTTTATCATCACTTCCAGAATGTAGCTTGCTTTTCATGGTATTTAGATTGTCTGACCTTCATTTTTACTTAAAAGTTTTTATTTAAGATGCCAGGTGAGTTTTTTGGCTATTATTATAATTAGTCCCAGAAGTCCTGTTGTACTGGAATTCCTCTAGTGCTTGTCCTTTTTTTTTTTTCCTTTATCTAGTGCTCTTTGCATATGAAAGGGATGCTGATGATGGCTTTAAATTATTTTCTAGAGTGTTGGTGGGGTAATGTTGATCTACTTACTTCTTTTCCCAATCTCGTTGTAATTTCTAAAGCTGATTTGAATAGATACTACTTTGATGATAAATAGTTTTTACTCCTGCCCTATATATTCCCTGAGCTCTGTCAGTTCTTCCTTTCATCAATTAGAACTGAAATCTGTCCTTTCCTTTATCACTGCTACCACCGACAGCTGTTCTGATTCTGTGGAGTTCATAAAAACTGAAGGAAAGGGTCTAAGAATTCTGCTGGAATCTTGGATATAGATAAAAGTGTCATCGGGTAGAGGGTTGGGAAATCTGATCAGAAAGATTCAGAAGATGAAGGCTGCATGTACCTTGAGGGCAGCAACAGGAGAAATGTGGGTATCAAGTGTCTCAGAAATGTTCTTATGATTTTTTTGACAGTCAAGAGTAAAATAATAGTTATTTTACCTACTATTCTACTGGGTCTTTCCACCCATTCGGATAGTTTGCCTTATGTGATGAGGCAATTGAGATTTGGAGACATGAAGCCACTTGAACGAGATCTCACAGCCAGAAAATGAGGGAGATGGTATTCAGGTTGATTTGTCTGACTCTAAAAATAATGCTTCTAGAATGCAAGTTTTGTGAGAGCAGGGCCATTGTCTTGTCGGTAAATCCAGCCAAAGGATGTGGAGTGGTGCCTCATACACAACAGGTCCTCCAGAAGTATTTGTTCAGTAAAGGAATGGATGAGTCGTCTCAGTCTAGTAAAACAGATTTGAGTGTGTGTGTTCAGGTACTTTGAAAGTTACTTAGCAGTCATTCTGTGTGTGTTTTAAGACTTGATATCTTTGAAGAAAACGTTTCCCCTAGGTTGCCTGTGGCCCACACCTGCTTCAATCAACTTTGCCTTCCCCCCTACAAGAGCAAAAAGGACCTGAAACAGAAATTGATCATTGGAATTTCAAATTCAGAAGGTTTTGGACTTGAGTAACCAAGAAGACTTGAAATACATTTATATGTAGCATTCACTTCCCTCTTATCGTGCCTTTAACCTTTCCATGTTTTCTGTCTCAAAATACCTTGAAAAAGCTCACCAACTTTAAAAGACTGACTTAAAAAAAAAAAAAATCAAATATGAAGTGTGTTCAGTAGAGGCATGGTTTTCTAAAAACACAACACTGTTTGAGTGAGAAAAAGACCAGGTGGCAGAGACAGGTGGGTCCAGTCCCTCTTTTTATAGCACTTTATCATCCTCCATAAGTGGTGTGTCACAGATGTTCCACTGGGGAAGCATCACGCAGTAAAGAATGCAGTGATGACAGGGTCGGTGGAGCCCAGTGGCAAATTGTGTGCTGCTTGCGCACGGTAGCAACACGGATAGCTACATTATCATTAATGTAGGGCATGTAGCCATATTTTCATATAGCGGGTAAACAACAGTATAATTGCAAATGCAATTTACAGGGGTTTTTTGATATACTGGCTTTGGTCCTCTAAAGATTCTTTTCAGCCGTTCCTGAAAATCAGCATGTAAATAACTACATAATAGCCTGAGAATAATGGGATTTTGATAGTGCCATTTATTGCTAAAGATTTATTTTTACAAAGTAAATTCAGGGTTTTAGATGTGTGTACAGCTTTTACAAATCAATAAAGATGATTGTACAAGAGTGTAACTATTTTCAGACTAATTGGACTCAAGGTTATATTCTTTTAAGTATCGTCAGTCTGCATGCACACGCACAGTAAACTAGTTACTTTGAGTACTCTGTAATGTTTGTATAATCCTTTCTTCTTAAGGGTCAGAATATTAGAAAGAAAATAGATCTGAGTAGTCACTGATAAATTAAGTCAATTACAAGCACAAAAAGAGAGAACTGTTTTTATATACACTTTGATTGACATACAAGACTTATTTATAGTATTTTTTGATCACCTGTTGTTCTGAAACACTAATTTTTGAAAACAAGTAGGATAAGATATTTGACAAAAGTGAATACGATAACGTTTGTGTCAAAATGACATGAAGTGAAGTGAAAGTCCCTCAGTGACATAGCTTGATGTAAAGATAAGGTTCAACATTTTGGCCCAAATGTTTGTTTTTCACTGGATTTTGAATATAGTGAATTCAAAAGTACCCTTTTTGGAGTTTCTTAATAAAGTAGCATGTAAAAAGAAACTGCATTTTAAGTCAGACAGTAAATGGATTTAATTTACAGCAAATGAAGCAGTTTTATTAGCACATTGCAGTATTTCCAAATCGACTTCTGTATTATACTTTGATAGCTTTCCTTCAGAAAACTCTGAAGGTGTATTTGCAATAATAATGAAGCCAGCATTTAGTACCAGCACATGGTTCACATGCAAATAATACTTTCCCGATTTCCAAGTCACACTACTATCTTATTGCTATGATTCCTACACCCCCACCAGCAGAATTCTTCTAGGGTGGAGGAACTAATCAGCTTGTTCTGTATTTCCAAAGCCAACTTGTGAATCTTGGAGGAAAGGAGTTAGTTCATTTACTATTCTGTTTGAGACAGAAGTGATTCCACTTTTCTACTTGGACATACTATTTAAAGGTTTTTTCTTCTTAAAATTCTTGGAACACCTAAGAGATTTAAGGGCATGTTGGTTTTGTTTTGTTTGCTCTGTTTTTAATCCATGTGCAAATAAAACTGCTTCTCTCTTTCACTGCTTGAACTAGAAAGTAAGGTGTTTAATGTAGGTTACTGCTAACTAATAAGCACAAAAGAATCATGTATAAGAAACCAGATTTAAGTGTTCGAAGTAAAATGTAAACAAAACTTCTATTTGGTAGAGATGGGAAAATTGTGTTGGCTTGGTCTGCATGTCTATGATGTGCTTGTATATCAATAGCTATGTCATTTTTAAATAAGAAGTATACAAGCAAGCCAAATTTTTAAATCACAGAGTCCATAAATAACTGGAAAATTTCTGTTGTCTGTTGTTGAAATTTATAATCATTTATCACTAAATTGCACATTGCCTTTATTTATTTATGCTCTGGTTTTGGTTTACAGTGTAATTAATACCTCATTTTTTAAAAGAACCACTACTGTTATATTTCGTTAATTTAAACAGCTAGAAAATTCATGTAGTTGCTTTCTTTTTATATAATCTGTTCATGAACTCTTGATTTTTGTATCTGCCACAGTAAATTAAAGCATTGCACACTATTTATCAGTATTTGCAAAATGTTCTGTCCTTTTTTAATCTTTGTTTAATTAATCATATTTTTGTCTGTATGATCAGAAGTTTTTAACCGCCCCTCTTTTTTGTACAAATGTGTATTGTATTATGTTGTTAATTTCTGGATAAATTTTTTCAAATATTAAAGTTATATAATCAAATAGACTTCAATTCATTTTTTTGAACATTAGGCAGTGAATTAAAAGTTTAAAATATAAATGCAAACTACTCTGTTACACTGTCTTTTAAACTGGTGCTTTGGAAAATTAATACATACTCCTTCAAAAGATGTGTGTTATTGACACCAAATGCTGCTAACCTCTAACATTATTTTTCGGTATGAAACAACATACAGGCAATGACTGGATGATCACACAAATATCCCACCAAATGAACATTATAGTACCATGGAGGTCACCTAGAAATAAACTAAGTATCACATTTCATTGGCCATCAATCAACAACTTCAGATCTATTACCCCCTACCAAAACCATTAGCTTGGCCATGTTTTTCCCTTACCACATTTTCCTTGATTAATGAACAAAGAGAGGAGATTCTAAGAATGTAGGAGAGAATGTCATGGATAATAGATGAGAGAAAATAGCTAGCTGGGTGGAAGACTGAGATGAGTTTTCACAAGGGAGGGTACAAGATCAGTTCACCCAGAGGGCCTGGTGAGTGGTTAAGAATTGAGCTTTGAAACTGTCTGAGTTTGAGTTTACTGTTTAATACTTGTGTTTCCTTGGGCAGGTTAATCTGTTCATGCCTTAATTATCAAATGATAATAATTTGTGAAATGAAAATAACCCTATCTCAATGACACAATTCTGGGGAGAAATAAATGAATTAGTATGTGTAAAGCACTTACACAGTCCCTGGCATATAGTCAGCAATGTAATGTGACACCAGAGGAACCTTGGTTCCAGTGGGATTACCTCTTATAACCACGGCTTCTGGTAACACATAATTCATAGAGTTGTTAAATAAACCTCTGTAGAACTATGTACGTGTGTGTATATACTTATGTATGTATATATATTATTGTAAATATATGTATGAGATATATATTGTTGTTTAGTCACTAAGGCATGTCTGACTCTTTGCAACCCCATGGACTGCAGCCTGCTGGGCTCCTCTGTCCATGGGATTTCCCAGGCAGAAATTCTGGAGTGGGTTACAGTTTTCTTCTTCAGGGCATCTTCCTCATCCAGGGATTGAACCCATGTCTCCTGCATTAGCAGGCAGATTCTTTACTGCTGAGCCACTAGGGTTACTCATATAGATATATGCTTATACATAATATATATATGTATATATATATACTCATATAAAATGTAGTTAGCATATATGAATAAATAAGTACTTATATCTTGCCTAACCTATAATAAGCCTTATATGTTTGATATTATTACCATTACCTTTTTGTTATAGCTCATGTATTGTAGAGATTTAGTTGTATCCTGACTTCTATCTTTTATAATATGAATTAAAAAATTTTAAATACAGCCCATAACATTATTTTATATAGTTGTTTAGATTTAACCACATAGTTACAGTTTATTTGCACACCATTCCTTCTTTTAATGTTCTTCACACCCAGTTCTGGGATCAGTTTTTTTCCTCCAAAATATCTGCTAGAAGCTGTTTTAAATTAGTAAGTTCTTTTTCCATTTGTCTGAAAGTGACTTTATTTCACCTCTATTCGTGAAAGATAAGTTCATCAAGCATGCATTTCTATTGTGATATTTAAGGACTTAGTGATAGTTAAGGACTTGTGATAGTTCCCTTAGGACTTTTAATGTATAATCCATTATCTTTGCATTTCATTGTTTTTTTTAAGAGAGTAGTTGTTTGTTTTTAACTTTTTATACTGTGTGCATGTGTGCTAAGTCACTTCGATTGTATCCAACTCTTTGCGACCCTGTGACCTGTAGCCTGCCAGGTTCCTCTGTCTATGGGATTCTCCAAGCAAGAATACTGGAGTGGGTTGTCATGCCCTCCTCAAGGGAATCTTCCTGACCCAGGGATTGAACTCACATCTTTTACGTTTTCTGCATTGGCAGGCCGGTTCTTTACCAATAGCCCCACCTTTAACTAACAATGTTGTGTTAGTTTCTATTGTACAACAAAGTGATTTAGTTATACACGTGTTTATTGTTCTTCAAATCTTTTCCCAATTAGGTTGTTACATAATGTTGGTCAGAGTTCTCTTTGCTATACAGTAGGACCTTCTTGGTTGTCCATTTTAAGTATTGGTGGTGTTGATGGGAAGTTAGTTGTCAGTATAATTGTCATTCCTTGGTAGATAATCTCTTTTACTCTGGCCACTTTTTAAGATTTTTTTTTCTTGTTAAACTGCAAAACATCACAGACAATATGTATATTGTATTTTTTTTTAATCTCTTTTAGGATTTGTTATGGTTCTTGAAACTAGGAATTTCTGTCTTTCAGTTTTAGAAAATTCTTCAGCCATTTCCTCTTTGAACACTGCGCTTCCCTCTTCTCTCTAATGTGTCCTACTAAACATATATTGGACCATCTCAATCATTAAATCCTGTTTAACCATGGTGTATTTCAATAGCTTTATTTTTTATTTCTAGAAATTCTTTCAGTTCCTTTTCAAATCCACCTGCTCTTATTTCATACTGTTCTTCCTTTCCTATGGTTTTTTTAAAAGATAATTTTCAGTGTACTTGTTTGATAGTCTATTTTAGATTATTTTTTTTACTCTCCCCAGTTCTTGAAATACTGATTCTTGTATTTGTTCATCTACTGGC